AGGAACAGGCGGGCGAGAGTGGAGAGCTATGCTATGGCATATGTGGGTTAGCTTCTTGTCCATGGTGGGCTTGGTCAGGGTGATAGTGCTGAAACTTAACCCTTAGGCCACCAACAAAGACCTGTAATTTAGAAATTTTAAAAAATTCAACTTTTTACCCTTAAAACTGTAACAACTTAATATATTTTCCTGTGACATATGGACATACATCCATATGTCCTCTCATTTTTCCCTCACTACAACTCCATGAGATAAGAATGAAAGATATCATCACCAGCTTACAAATGGGAAAAAAAAAAAAAATTGGAGCTCATATAAACTAAACTGTTTACCCAAGGTTAAATCCCAAACAAGCTGTAGAGCTGGCACTCAAATTTAAGTTTCCTTCCTGAATTCAGTGCATTTTCTCCTCATACATTATATATGGAAATTTTTTTAAAAAAGATATATTTTATTTTTATTTTTATTTATGCATACAAGAACTGGGGTCTAGGCCAGAGGTTTAGAGGATGAGAGGATTCACCAGAAACAGAGTGGGGAGCAGAACAGGCTGAAATACACTGATGAAGGGAGCAGGGGGCAGGATAGGAGAGGTCTGCTGCACCATGCACAGTAGCTCCCTGACTGGGATCAAACTCATACCGCAGTGGCTGGTAATAAATAGCTTGACAGCACTGAGACTTCAACCGCTAAGCCATCGGGGAGGTCTTATATAGAAATTTTTTAAACCTGATAATTATGGTATGTCTTACTTCATTTTCCTAACTTTAAGGCTACCCAAATTTCTGAGACATTAAAATGTACATAAATGTGTGTCTTAGAATAGCTGAAAATCAGTGACGCTACATTGGGGATTTTCCTAAAGCAACCAAAGGCATAGAGAAAGACAACAAAAGAAAAAAGTCAATAGAAATGAGCTTGAAAAATTTTTAGAATAATATGGAAAAAGAAAGTCCAGCCTTCTGAAATTACCCTTCTCATTTTAAGACCACAAGTTATTTTCTGTTACAATCTTAGTTAAAACTATTTATATGGGTATATATGCAAATATATATAAATCAACAGTGCAACTCTTAAAAATTTTCTTCTCTGCTTAAGAAGCGCAAGGAGATATATTATAAACCTTCAAAGTGTTACATATTTTAGTATAACATTTATTTCATAATTCCCAAATTCGGCACAAATCACCTTTTTAAAAGGTGTTTTTTGGGCCTCCCTGGCGACACAAGGGGTTAAGTCGCAGCACTATGAAGCTGTTGGCAGTATGTTTGATCCCAGACCAGGGTGGTAGCGAGACAGCAGACCTCTCATGTCTCGCCAGCTGTTTCCCTCAGCAGTGTATTTCAGTAGATCTGCCTGTTCTGTTCCCCACTCTGTCTGGAATCCTCTCACCATGTCCCCACTCTCCGCACCTCTGGCCTGTACCCCAGTTCTTTCATAAATAAATCAATCTTAAAAAAAAGGTGTTTTTCACTATATGTCAAAACATTTTCATCAAAATTATTCTTAAATAAGGTACTAAAACCATTTTCCCAAAGCAGATACCATTTATATATCAAACAGTATCAAAAAGACTCACACTATTACATTTCTCCAATTTGATCATACCTTCTTCATTCCTCCCAACTTCTCAAAACCACTAAGATTTCCCCTGTTACTATATTTTATGGCATCTAAGCTTAGTCCTTCCCTCATACTATATTTTACTTTCCTATTCCATGAATCCCAACTAGATCCTCTCTTCAGAGCAGGCCTTTGTTTTATATGCCTTTATTATTTCTCACAGTTCTATGTAGAATGCACATGATAGGCATGTTTATTGACTGAAGAAAGCTCTTGAGATCATACATAGAAAATACAGTAAATAAAAAGACTTCAAAGACATATTGTTGGGCCTCCCTGGTGGCCCACGGGGATAAGTCCCAGCACTATGAAGCTATCCGCAGCCACTTCAGCATGAGTTCCATCCCCAACCAGGGAAGTGACCCACATGGCACAGCATACCTCTCCTGTCTTGCCTGCTACTACCCTCAGCAGCATATTTCAGTAAATCCTCCTATTATGCTCCCTACTGTCTCTGGTGAATCCTCTCACCCCCCCACCCCTGCACCTATGGCTTGCACCCCATTTCTTATATGCATAAATAAATAAATCTTTTTTTTTTAAAAAAGACATATTGTATATAAAACTCAGTTTGTTTCACTACTATATTCCCAGATTGAGGACAGTGCCTTGCACATAGTAGGTACTCAGTAAAAATTTATTGAGTGAAGAAACTTTCAATTTCTTTAAATACAGGAAGCTCTATAACAAGTTACACTTTTTTACAGCACCATGAAGGTGCATGAAGAGACTATATCTTCTTCCTTTTCCTTGTGTACCTATAAACCGTTTATATTCATTCTGCTAACTTAAAGTTCAATATAAGGGATGCTATTAAATAAAATGTACAATAAACAAAACAAAACTCAACTGCACCTTTGTCAGTGATCAAAGGTCCATGACAATTTTCAGGGATATTCCTTCCAACCTACTTCAGCAACCTGCATCCTGGACTCATCATGAATTTCGCTTTAATCGCAGGCTTATTAGCAGATCACTTCACAGGTGGACAATTCAGCTGGCAGAGTCCTAAGTTCCTCAAGAAAATACTTCAACACAACAGTGAAAGACATGACCTTTACCCTTGCCACTCCCATTTGCAATCCAGGTTTTACTAACACTTTTAGAAATGACCTCCAACCCAATCCAGCAACTTTGAATATACCTTAGAGGCAGCAGACAGTGATTAGGTGGGACTGGAACCTACAAAGAAATGTTTCCCAAGTCCTCATCCTCAATCTCACTACTAATCACCTACCATTACTCATCTTAAAATGTTGAGAGGAACAAGGTACAGACTCTAAGTAACAGCAGTGACAAATTTTCAGTATCTACTGAATGCCTGGCTTGATGCTTACCTTTCATTCACCTCTAATTAAAACTGCTGGATTTATTTAAGCTTGCTCACAATATATAATAGACACTAGTTTAAGAAATACCCTTTAGTATTTAAAAGGGCTAATCTTTTTAACAGTCTTATGACTTTCCAATTCAGTTTTATTGTATAGATATTAAGGTTAATAGAATATGCTTTGAAGGCTAATAATTTAGAATAGAATTAACAGTATGTTTCTATAAAATCACCTTTCTCCTTGTTTTGCTGATGAACAGTAAATACAACTAGAAATTCTAAATTTTGAAGCAATGAAACTAGATTTAAAAATAACTTACCTTTCAAAAGTATATAGTACACTAATGTAAATAAGCTCCTCAGTCAAGTATAATATACAAAACAGACATTCTATTCTGTGTAAGCAGACACTATAAGGTTATCACTTAACCTGTGAACAGGTGACTAAATCATTAGGGTAAAGGGGAGGACAGAAATCAGGATACAAAAAGAGGAAAGTGACATAAGCAGGGCATTCACGTAATAAAAGAAAAATACTTGGAGAAATGGTCAGCGTTTACTTAATAAATAATCAGTATTGATAAGCATGCTCTGGGTAAGACAATGGTGGATTTTAATCTGAAACTTGACAATGGATCTCCAATTACAAAAAGCTTTAGTACTAGCTATTCTAGAATTTTTTCCCCACGTCGATTAAAATTCCTACTAACTAGTCAGGGCAGCACACCTTATTAGCCTTGCTTTAAATCTTTGCAATCATGCTCACATACAAAGGAACAGCAGTGGTAAAATGACCCAGTCTTTCTCTCCTATTGGTGAACACTGGCAGCTTCTCCATTCCAAGGTAACCTAATGTAACCAATGTAACCTAAGCTTTTACAGATGGCCAAGCTCTCTACTAATGCAGGGTTTGTTTTCAGGGTGGGTGCTAGAAAACACCAGGTGTATTTATAGAAGAGAGCAAGACTAGGATGGAGGGATGATGAAAGAAGAGGAAGTTTCTTCCATCTGGTAGAGAAGCCTGTGGAAAGATCTGGCTTCCACAGCCTGGTTTCCACTCCTAACTCGCCAACTGCGAGCTATGTAAACTTATTAAAAACCCTTTTCGACCTGTTTTCCTATGTATAAAAATGTTGACAATGCTCCTGGCTTGGGATGGTTGTCAGACGAATGAAAATCATGTATGTAAAACGGGGGACGTGGTAAGCAATCAATACACAGCAACCTGCAGTCCCACCCTCTGGTTCACCCAGAACTACACTTCAAAAATCACAAAGATAGACTGCAGTGTTAAAATTAAAAGGCCCAGGCTAGATGGGAGAGAAAGACAAGACTTGGGTGGAGGCTTGCTTATTTACCGGAGTTGGGATATTGATAAGGGCGGGGTTGGGGGAAGAATGTAGGGGGTGGGGTAAGGGGGGGGGTGAGAGGGGGTGCACATGGAAAAAGCATCAAGTATAAGCAACACTGACCAAAAAACAAAAGACATCCTTTATGTAAGCGGGAAACAAACTTCGGAAGCTGCGTATGTCCTGTGAACCTACTCGGTGGCCTCAATTAAAGGGACAAGAGTACGCAGCGCCAAATGGGACATACCTAGTCCACAGGCCACCTTGTCAATTTCAGGTCACGTTATTTTACGAAACTGTCCTCAAACCTGAGGCCGTTGGGCTTCTCAACCCGCCCCATATGTGCTCAGAAGCCAGGAGCGAAGAGCAGAAAGAACAGGCATGTTAAAGTGAGTAGGACTGGTACAATGACTGAAAAACAAGGCGGTGGGTGAGGGGGCGGGGTAGTGCAATGTGGCAGAGAGACGACCGGCGAGCCAGAAAGACGGCGCTTCACAATGCGGGCCAGGGGAGACTGCGACAAGCGCCGACTCGGGGTGCCCAGCCGGGACTGCTGGCTAGGCCGGGGGCGCGAAAAGCGTGGGAAGAGGGGAAGGCGATCGGGGTGAAGTGAGCGTGCGGGCTACGCTGGCGAGCCCAGGGGCACCCGAGCAGGTGCAAACCCTCCCGGCGGGGAGAAAGGGGCTTGGGATACTCACGGTGTACAGAAGGTTGAGCGCGCACAGGCAGTTCTTGGAACACGCGAAGCCTCCGCAAACCATTTTGGAGCCTGTGGTTCCCGGCAACGGCAGGTAAATTCGGCTCCAGCCGAGCCTCCGGGACAGCCTCTTTGTCCTGGCCTTGGGGCCTGGCCGAGGCGAGGCAGCCGCGCGCAAAGGGGTGGACGCCCGGGGGCTGGGGCTGCAGTGCGCGGCGCGCCCGCGGCTACTCGGACCCGCTTTCCAGAACCTGCGGCCGCCGCAGCGGGAGCCCGAGCGAGAGCCCCGCCCAGTCGCCCCCGCCTCGCCTCGAGCGCTGATTGGTCGCAGGCGGGGAACAAAGGTAGAAATATGCAAATAAATGCGCTCCGCCTGCCGGGATCCGGGAGAGGCGGGGCGGAGCGGACCTGGGGCGAGGGGGAGGGGGCCGAGGCCCGGGGGGAGGGACCCGAGGCCTGAGCCGGTGACGGCCGCCTCGCCGCGGTTTCCAGGGGAGCAGGTGAGGAGCCCAGGGCGGGGCCGGCAGAGGTCCGCGCAGGCGAGAAAATATGACAGCACCCCTGTTCTGGGCCCCGGCGGATGACGTGGCACCATTTTGAACGCGATTTTAAAATTGAACACCTGGCTTCTTTGAAAGGAGAAAGCAAGCGATAGATGAGTGAATGTCAAGGATTTAAAAGAGGGCTTGCGGTGGAAGGAAATGTAGGAAGGAAATTGGTGGGATAATAAATGGAGAATAAAATCTCTGCTTCTGTCAGAAAATAGGTAAAGGACGTGGCCTGGAATTGTGACTCTTGTCCAGACAGATTAGCCTACATGGATTTGCAGAATACTGATGAACTTTAGGAATACATGTGTGCAAAAGAAAACCAAGAGCTTATTTTTGTCTTCCAATTCGAAATTCTGAACGCTTCTCTTCACAAATGTGAAAAGCTGTGAAAATTTTTAAATGACAGTCTTCACCACAGTTCATTCACTATCGCTTTACTGTATACTGTAGGGATGAATCTTGTACCCTTTCCTATTAAGTAGGATATTTACAGAATGTCAAGCACTTTTTGCACAGTGCCTGGCACAATAAGGGCTCGATAAATGTGAGCTAGTCTTAGAAGGTTAACAGTGTTTGAATACCTATTGTGTTCCAGGCACAAACCTAAGTCAGTCAGTTTGGTTATGTCATCATACTTGCTATCAGAAAAGGTCTTGATAGGGCCTCCCTGGTGACGCAGGGGTTAAAGTCTCAGCGCTATCAAGTTATTGCCAGTCACTGTGGCATGAGTTCTACCCAGGCCAGGGAGCTAATCTACATGGCACAGCAGACCTCTCCTGCCTCACCCACTGCTCCCCTCAGCAATGTATTTCAGTCAATCTGCCTGTTCTGGTCCCCACTCTGCCTATGGTAAATCCTCTCACCCCCACCCCCGCATCTCTGGCCTGTACCCCAGTTCTTGTATGAATAAATAAATAAATCTTTTTTTTAAAAAAAGAGTTGATTTAAAAAAAGAAAAGCCCTGATAAATTCTCAGGTATGTATGTAGAACCTAATGATTCACACTGAGTAAATTATGTGATGGTAAATGCTAAATATATGTTAAATAAAGCATTGCAGCTGATTGAAGTAGTTTGTTTTCTTGGAAACCTCTGCTCTCGCTTTTAACCTTTCCTGATCTCCCCAAACCCCACTACACTAAGAAGACCCCATTAATTTTTAGGTTTTATATTTCACATTAACCTTTTGTATAAACCCAGAAATTTTCAAAAAATCAGTCTGGAAAATGACCCTCAAAACCAAAACTATATTTTGGTGCTCAGCTTTTCACTTCAAATGCCAGATACTTACTAAAGTATTAACAGAGCAATTTATTCTTCCTCTTCCCATTTTGGGTGATGTCAACATTTCTACCACTTCAACAATAACTCACCATCTACAGCAACTTCTCCTTTGCCTTGTTCATAATAGTCTCTACTATCTCCCTTAGAGGGTGGATCTCTTTCTTAAAGAAACACCATCTATCAGTCTTGGATCCAGCCCAGCAAGGAGGTGATTCATTCCAAATAGCATGATTTTGAGGAGTTTAACAAAGAGAATATTATCAAAAGTATGGACAACATTAAAGAAAATCAACAGGGATGGTTAACCAGCTCAGAGCTAGGTAGTTATGATTTCCCTTAAGTCTGACAAGTAATTTAATGGAACAGTTACAGAGCCAAGCAAGAGCTAAGTTGTAGACGGGTTGTTTGATAGGAGTTGTGACTTTTAATAGCAAAAATGAAAGAATGACTACAGACTGAGAAGGAAAACAAATTAACATAGTACAATTTCTTCCTAGCATTTGGATATAGAAGTTTGCAAAAGAACGTTTAGTCCCACCCTAATAAGAATGAACTAAATAAACTACAAAATCAGTTTTTTTTAAAAAACTTATCTTAGAAACGAAGGCTCAAAGATATTCTAAATAACCTAAAATTTGAAAGTAACAGTTCGTTCTCAGGAAGAAAAAGCTTACAGTTAAATTTCATCTCTCATGAAATGACTGTAGAAGAAATATTGCCAGGGCTAACCTTTTTTTTTTTTTTTTAAAGATTTATTTATTTGGGGCCTCCCTGTTGGCACAGAGGTTAAAGACAGCGCTATCAAGCTGTTGCCAGCCACTGCAGCATGAGTTCAATCCCCAGCCAGGGAGCAAGCCACATGGCACAGCAGACCTCTCCTGTCTCGCCTGTTGCTCCCCTCAACAGTGTGTTTCAGTGGTTAGCTCCCTGACCGGGGGTGGAACTCGTGCTACAGTGGCTATGAATAGCTCCACAATGCTGCAACTCAACCCCTTGCACCACCAGGGAGGCCCCACAGCTGACCATTTAACCAACTTTTAATGCCCCTATGTAGTGTGACACATAATCACAGAATGAGTCTACAACTATTGCCACTTTAAACCCATGAGCTTTCACCTTAATACAAAAGTTATAATCCCCAAAGGCTGTGGTCATGCAAGTGTGTTCCTTCCCTGTAGCACAAGACTGGATAAAAGTTAAGGACAGGACAAGATAGATGAGAAAATTCCCTACCAAACAGTCTGGGTCTTAGCCCAAGGTAATGACTACCAAAGGTTGAGTAAAGGAAGAGAAAAATACCTTGTGGTATACTTCAGGAACCTGCAAGGCTGGAATGGAAGAGAAGTGTAGGGAGAAATCTTACATGGACAGCACAGAAAGCCAAGGATATGACAAGAGAGCAAAGAATACCCCCTTGTACTCCTAGGTACAAAAAGGTAACAACCAGATGGTAAAACAGATGTCTCCTAAAACTCAGAAAGCTGGTGACTAAACCATAAACCACAAAGCGATGGCTATGTAAACCTCCTTCCTACAGAAGGAATGTCTTGATCAGGAATGGCATCAAAAGTATTTGAGGGTAGGGCCTCCCTGGTGACGCAAGAGGTTAGACACAGCACTGTAAAGCTGTCCGCAGCCTCTGCAGCATGAGTTCAATCCCCCAGCCAGCCAGGGAGCAACCCACATGGCGCAGCAGACCTCTCCTGACTCACCTGCTACTCCCTTCAGCAGTATATTTCAGTCAGTCTGCCTGTTCTGCTCCCCGCTGTCTCTGGTAAATCCTCTTACCACCACCACTCCCAGCCCCTGTACCTCTGGCTGCACCCCAGCTCTTGTATGTATAATTAAATAAATCTTTAAAAAAACAAAAAGTATCCTTCAGTGCCTTTAAAAAAAAAGGGTTTGAGGGAATTGCTAATCCTGTAAGGAATTCTCACACCCTACCCCCCACCCCAACCCACCCCCAGCCCCCACCCTTTGGCCTATATCCCAGTTCTTGTATGCATAAATAAATTAAATTAATCTAAAAAAAAAGAAAGAAAGAAAGAAAAGAAAAATGGGGCCTCCCTGGTGGCTGAGAGGTTAAGTCTGAGGGCAAAAATAAAAAAAAAAGTGAAAAATGGATCAGAGCATCTGAGATCTGTAAGACAAAATCAAGGTGTGTGGCAGGGGATGTAGGGGGAGGTATGTGTGACTGGAGTTTCAGAAGAAAAGAAAAGGGGGCAAACTAAGTAAGTCAGGAGTTTTCCAAAGTTGGTAAGATATAGCAATTCACAGATTACTATCCTGTGGGATGGTGACTTAACAACATTCTGTATTGTTCAAAGAAACCCCAACCCTACACTGGTTAAGGGTGGGGGACATAGACACCATCTTTTAACTGGAGGGTTGTAAAGTCACATTGTAGAAGAGCAGCTAGGATAAGGAATATCATAATGTAGCTTTGAAAAACAAAATCTGCCAGAAATAATGTCTTTTCCATATTATGCCTCCAATATAGACAGATTGCCCCCTTTTTTTTTTTTTTTTTTATAGAGGCATGTTTTCTTTCTTTCTTTCTTTATTTGTTTGTTTTTTCATTTATACATGCACTGGGTACAGTCAGAAGCGCGGGAGGGTGAGAGAATTCACCAGAGCCAGAGCGGGGAGCAGAGCAGGCAGAAGGACCGAAGTACACTGCTGAGGGGAGCAGCGGGCGGCAGGAGAGGTCTGCGCGCCATGTGGGACCCTCCTCCGGTGGCCGGGGAGCAGCCGGGGATCGAACCGGCGCCGCAGAGGCTGCGGGCAGCTTCGCAAGCCAGCGCTCAACCGCTGCGCCACCGGGGAGGCCCAGATTGCCCCCTTTTTTTAATGAAAAAAAGAACAGGACACTGGACAGTATTGGAGACTAAGCTAAGAGAGTGTGCATTTTTGTTAAATGGAAGAGAAGGTTTTTTTATACAATATATTTGTCTTTGTCTACAAAATCAATAGAAAGGAAATGGAACTTTATTTTTTAAAAATTGGGACTCCTAAGTAAAATGTTTTTAAAGAGTTTTAAAACAGGAATAACAAAGACAAGCTGTATCTAATATTTGACATATTTCTTAGTTTCTGATTAATTTTTAATATAAGGTGAATTTATAATAATTTAGGTGATTGCTATACTTCTTTCTCCTCCTCCCTCTCCTCTCCGGCATTTTTTTTTTTAAAGATTTATTGATTGATTGATTGATTGATTGATTTATACATACATTCATGCAAGCACTGGGTACAGTCAGAAGCGTAGGAGGGTGAGAGAATTCACCAGAGCCAGAGCGGGAAGCAGAGCAGGCAGAAGGACCGAAGTACACTGCTGAGGGGAGCAGCGGGTGGCAGGAGAGGTCTGCGCACAATGTGGGACCCTCCTCCAGTGGCCGGGGAGC